CCCTCCAGTAATCATAAATAATTTTTAGTAGTCTTATTTGTGGTCTTATTTTGTGTTTTCTGTAAAAATTTCTGGTTACGTCAGCTACTGAAATATTAATCATGGCAGTGTTGACTATTGTGTTATGAAAGTGTAATTTAATGATTTTAAAATTATATTTACAGCTTTACTGTTATTACCAATCGAGTTGGTCCATTAAACAAGCAGTTTTTTAAATGAAATTTTTGATAAGCTTCGGAAGAAAAAGGATGCACCTGGGCTGCTTCAAAGTCATTTATCCTGTTTTCGGTTCTGTTTCTTTAAAACGTTTGTTTCCTCGAACCATTACTTTAAAAATGGATACGTCGAAGTCTCAGTAATAGAAATTTTGGTCTAGTTATCTCTTAAAAAGTCTTGCATAGTTCAAACAAATATCGCTTTGTAAAGTGTTTTTTTTTCTTTATTCTTTGAAGTGCGTTATTCAAAGATGTGAATAACCGGTACACGGTATCGACTAAATTGATTTATTATAAAACTCCTACCAACTAGAATAAAACTACCATAAGCTAGTAAATTGCTTAGTTTCTTTTTTTTTTCTTGTTTACCTTTCCCCCTTCCCCTTTTAAAACTTTTTTTATTTATTTTTTATATTTTTTAGGGGAGCGGGTTTAACGGAACATTGAAAACCTTTCAATCGCGTTACATTTTATTTAACTAGTTTTCTTTTATTTAGTCTAACTTGCCTGTTAAAACATTTAGTGCAAGACAGTACTACCGCACGAGGTTGGTGGCGACACATGTGTTCTATGGCAGATCAATGACGTATTTTGTAACCGATACCCCGCTGATTGGTCTAAATTGAAAATTATATAATGCATTGTATTTTCATTTCTTTTGTTTCATTTTTCAACATTACTCTAACACTCTTAATGTATTATTGGCTCTAAAATGCTTGTCATATAGCTTGTTACAATCTCTTTCATGCTGCATTTATACCAATTTATTATGTATATTTGCATTCCAGTATAGTGGTTATTTGAGCAACAACGAACAATTTTAGGTTAATTTAATTTTCATTATATTATGAGAAGCAATTTTGTCTCGATTTGCATGCTATGAATATCTGACAAAGTTTAGTCGAATTGCACATCTTCTTTACGATAAAAGATGTAGTTTTGGAAGAAGATTAAATGAGAGCTATTGATATATTCATAAAGCTAAGGCATGGGAGGCTTATTGTGTAAACCAGCTATCAAGCCTCTTAGGTTAAATAAACAATGTATTTTTTATAGTTTGCATATTTGTGTGTTTAACTAAATGGAACATAATAAATATTTCACTAAGATTTTAATACTGCATACACCATATGAAAATGCAGATTTTTTTTATATCATTCTTTGCCCACCTATAGTTGAAGCTGCTTTCATGAAGTTCAGTACCTTAACAAAATATTGTGATTGAAAGTGTATATCTAGGATCAGTAATTAATGAAACGTAAGCACATTTTTCAAACAATCTTATATAATATATGAAAGAAAATCAAGCCGATTTCAAATTAGACGAAAAAAACATCTTAAAATGATCTTTAGCTTAATGGAAAAACTTCCTGTGTATTGAAGGAGTAGGGATGCATTTATTTTTTTTTTTATTATTTAATAGTCGGAAGAAAATAAATAAAAAAGAACAACGATAGCAGCGCCATCTCTCGAGAATGAAAAGTTTTAGATGAAGCTTTTAAAAGTTTTCGAGAAACCCTAGATTGGAATTCACTGAAGTTGATATATTTTGTTGCTTTAGGCTTAAAGGAAATCACTTACAAAATGAAATCTTTGAAAATGTTATGAAGAAATCGTTTGGGTCAATTTAGCAGTACTGAAAATTAAAAGACTAATTAAACAACCAACAGTGGTGAGCTGTAATAAATTGAATGGAGGATATAAATAAATTTTCCATACCTGGTCATATTTTGTGCTTAACTTTCGCGAAACGGGCATGCTGTGCAACACGCACTTATTTATGTAAAACCAATATCCATGTAAGATTCATTTTTGGTCTAATTTTAAACTCTACATACTTACAGAGACTAACACATTATAAATCAGCGCCTTAAGAACATAAAAATAGAAACTGTAAAATGCTTCCAATTTCCTAAATAGTAGTGACTTAGAATTTACTGGCACTTTAAAACAATGTCGAGCTGGTGTATTTAATTTTTTTTTAAAGTAACACAGAAGATCTGTCATTTTAGGAAAACTTAATGTGACCTTGTACTCGAATTTTGTTGATTGTTAATTAATAGCACAATAAAACTATTTCTTAACCTTGTATATGAAATTTACGCTTTATTCTTCTGACACACATATACTCACCATGTCTCAAATGGAGATATATATGCCATTGTTTTCTAGGCGGAAACCCTGGCCCAGATAGCTTCGATTTATATGTTACTCAACAAGAAGCGAGCTTTCTTTGCATGTTGAAGATTTACTTTGATGTATAAGCTATCCTTTAATTATTTCATAAAATTAAGGGATAGCGGTTGTTTAAAGTTCCTGTGTTTTTCATGTCTATTGTTTAAGCACAAATCTATAGGTAAAAAAAAAAAAAAAACTTTCCCTAAGAAGACCTTTTTTTTTTCTTTTTGTGATTGTATCTGACAATCTTTCGACTAATACTATCGTTAAAGAAAAAGGAAATTGCGCTACCTTTAACTGTCCGATCGAGTTACGGCGATATTCGTATCTCTTACTTTGTTCAGATAATATGTTAAAGCATCATAATCCACGTTCTTATATTTATGAATTTTGCTGAACTTAAAACAGAACATGTTGAAAAACTGCTGAAGTATAGCATGGTTGATAAAGATGAAGAAATGGAAACATGTACCCGCTGTATGTCTACGAGACTATTCGCCTTCTGTAACTAAAATTTCATACTAGCAAATACCGTTCTTTGTTTATTCAAAAGAACGGTTAATGCGGTTTATTTCTTTCTTGCACCAGGTGAGAACTTGCCGACTATCTGTGTGCAAAACAGATCACCAATTCTGAATTTCTAGATCTTCGATGTCTATTTCGATTATCATAAAGAATGATAATCAAGCGAAATCAGAATAACCAAAGACATAAACCAGCAAAATTGGCATTACGGATTAATTGAAGCAAAACCGCTTTCTCTGTCGTCCTTTCTTCAGCTGTATTAAAAATACAGTTTGCGCTTTTTTTTTGCTGTATTTGTTATTATACCATTAACTTTCAAAACACTGAAGGAATTATGAATAGCTGAGTACCTACCTAAATATATTAATAATTTATAGATAAAGAACCGTATAAATGATAAATATTTATTATATATAAGAAACCTTAGATTTATCGACGCATTTATAGCAAACCTTGGTTGTGTATTATCTTTCATTTTTCAGTTAAAAAATGGGGGAATGACATTTTAACACGTGGTGAGAAGGAGGCAAATGCGGCAGTAAAGACTGAAAACCACGGAACGAAGTTTCATCGAAGAAAGAAAACTGATTTATTTTTGATTTGTGTCTTATAAAATGTTCATGTTTATTTAAAATTTGATTACTTGAATTTTCTTTTCCTTGCTTAGTGAGCAGACATGTGTGAGTAATTTTCACCGAAAGAGCGTACGAAATCTTCTTCCAATATGTTCTAGTGATGTTGGGCTGTTAAAAGCTTCATACTTGTTTCAATCTTTTTTTTTTTTTTTTTTTTTTTTTCCAATTTACATCGCCACCGAAACATCAGGATTTATCAGCAGAATGATGAAATCCCCACTGGTTGCTATTCTGAAATGAAGCCAAAAAATGTTGACCGAAATGGTGGAAAAAGTATTCAAACATTTTAAACATACGTTAATAGCAAACATGCGGTGAATTTTCTATCGATGCCCGTTTCGAAATTAATTCTCAAAATTTTATTCGCCAATTGAAGCATGAAGTACTAGTGAAGAAATAGTAGTGCATGAAATCCATGAAGTCTATGAGCGAAAGTATTATTATTATTATTATTCTGACGATGAAAGATTAATGACTGAACATATTTAACTTAGAGGCGACCCAAACAAGATCATAAGGTCTATTTTTAGACCAGGGGGAACGTGTCGTATTCCCCTCATTTGTAACACCTTATATTAGAAATATTTCATGATTAAATATTTACCAAATCATGTACGGTACATCTATCTTAAATTCTTTTTTGTTGTGCAAGGGTTTGGCTCATTCAGACAACTAAGATTTGTTATTTTAAGTCGTATTTTGCGAAATGGGTCCGTGTAATCTTTGCACTGCTGTGTTTTTTAAATCAATTTATCCTAAATTATGTATGATGTCTAAACTAAACTTCGGCCTTGTCTCCTTTTTCTCCCTTTTCGAATAACTATATTCGCGTTGCTTGGGTTGACAAAAGTAAACATAACTTGAAACCGATTGCCTCCATAACTGCAAAATCTGCAAAGCTGTAGCTGAATTATTCATTGCACAAAACCAAATTACTGACAGAGAATTACTCATTATTCGTATTTGTAGACTGAAATGAACATCATCAAAAGAAATTTCTTTGCCTCAAGAAGTTAGAAAAATATATTGTTGTGAACTTACTAATGTTTTTCTCATTTATAAACCGAATGCTATTGAAATTACTGAACAATTAGACCAAAGAATAAGAAAAACACTATTCTTCAGGGCGCAATCATACGGTATTACAGGTTTTCTTATGCAATTTTTAAAAGACTATATTTTCCTGTGTTATTTCAACTACACAGAAAACTTAAATCTTGGGAAAAAATGTATATGATTTTATCATGTAAAATATTTATCTCATTGAATGCAGCTAGTAAACAAGACGCAGAAATTTGGCGTTTCTATCTGAATTGTATAAGTGTTTATTTGTATCGGAGAAATAGTATTATAGGAGAAAACTATAATTGCATTATGTAGAAGTTGTACTTATCAGTTTCCTTGTTTTTCATATGTTGATTCGAATAAATGACTTGATGATACGAAGGAAAATGTATCTGTACAATCCTGTGATTTCAGAATTGATGATGATAAGAAGAAAATTTACCCGTACAATCCTGTAAGTTTAGAATTAATGCATTGATTACTATCTACATTGCGCAATTATATAGGTGTCACTTAATCACGTGCAATTATAATGTTTCCCCTGATAGTATTCAGCCTTTTAAAGGCCATGACACAAATTAGATTAGAAATACCTATCTGCTTTATCATTCTGTGCTTTGTCTCAGCGGTTTAAATAACTTAAACCTTTGCTCCGAAATATTTATTTGAGCAGTATATCCTTATCCACTGACAAAATACTCGCATGTTTTTACCTTTCTTATTTCAACATTCTTATATTGGAAGGAATCTTAAGTCGTGCGATCTCTTCTTTATGATGGTGGTTCAACTTTCCTATTCATTCAATTCAGAGGGGACACAACCACGTAATTCTAAATACTATGACATCAAAAACTTTGAGCACTAATGATATGTAGAATACTGCTTACACCATTCGTTTCAAATCTGCGTAATGCTTCTCGAATCAATAGTGATGGTGACTTTTGACACTTCCGGAGACAATCCTCTGCGCAAGCTAAGGTGGCTAGGTACTATTATGCAAAGGCGAAGAGAATCGACGATTAGAGTTCAGTCTGAACCTGTAAAGTATATGCTAATCATCCAACTCTTAGGATCACGTGAGACATGTAAGCAGCATTGACTTGAGGGAAGTTTGAAATGGACAACAACAATTAAAGAGTGAATATTTTAAGACTTTCATTCAGAATGAATATTTTAAACTAGTGCATAATATGAATTGCAAAGACCATATTATGAATGATTTCCTAGTATTTTAAATTAAAAAAAAATTAACTATATCATTTGTAGTGCATTTCAATACGTTTACAAATCTACGTGTGTGGCGAGCTTTTAAAATGTGCAGTAAAAATATATATTTAAAGCTTCGTAAATATTGTACTATATACTGTTAATCGATTTAAAACGTAATATTTAGTTTGCATGTAGAGGAAAACTATAAAAAATTTCACACTTCGATTGAGTGTAGGGCACTGTAAGTACCGGATTTACTTGGGGTTCAGATCCCAGCTGACGGACTTGCTTCATAGGTATTTTCGTGGGTTTTCCACTTGTGTGACGTGAAGAGAGACAGTTTTCTTTAAAAATTCCTCCACTAAGGCATCCCTTTCTTTAAACAGACAGCCCTCTTGTGCTTTACCGTAATCCAAATAATCCAAAAATCCATCGAATTCTGCTTTTTAACTAGTCCACTAAATGGGCCATTCATTGTGGTACTAAGACATGAGTCTCGGGTGCTACGTTTAATTAAACACTGAAAAACGTATGCGGGCTATCTGCCTGAGGCAAGGGAAGTCTTCGTGAAGGATTATACTGGCTTGTATTTATGAGAATATTGATGTAAATGTCATTTTGTAGCTGAACCGTGTTCAGACATGTAACTTCATTTTCCTTTTCGTAGCATATAGTATCAAAATGTCGTTTCAAATTCCAAAATAAAATTCCCTTTTCAGTGCGAAGAATGAAAATTATTTATTACGTTACATTTTTAATTGGAAATTTGGTGAGGTAGTTTATTAGAAGATCTCAAATCCTATGTCTGTCCGGCTAGCATCAGTAATTTCTTTTCTACAATGGGCTTACGCACATGGAAAATTGCTCATCAGAGAATTTCTTGACATGTACTCTCTGATGTTGAGTTATTGCGTTGTAAATGGTTAGCGGATATTTTAATTCAGATTACTAAAACTTATTACAATGAAGGTAAAATTCACATTCGCAGCAGAAGAAAGCCATTATAACACTGAAATATACCGGGTGTTCGAAAAAGGTGGTTACAGGATTTAATTATTTAAGTATTGATGTGGAGCAATTATAAAGTTTCATGTAGTTTCAGGTACAAAGTTTAGAAAGGTTAACTAGGAAGATTCTTTCATTTTCAGTACACAGTGTAAAATGGTTTGTTAGGACAAAATTTATTTTTTCATATGGTTCATTTGCTTTTATGTGGTTTCGTTTGCTTTTGTTGTTAAAAACCAAGAAATTTAGTACCTTTGTTAGTTATAAAAGTTAAACTTTGTTAGTTTAAGAAGTTATAAAATAATGATTTTAATAACTTAGAGTACTTTTCATCACATATTGAGCAAATCTCAATATTTTTTGTCAAATGTAAAGAGAAATTCCTAAACAAAACCTGCTTGTTTCGGGGATTAATGTTTCCGTTCTGGAAAATAGCGCTCATTATTAATTTTGTAGGTGGGCTTACGACACTGCTAATCGCATGTGTCTTCGTGAATTTTGCACATAATTATATGTAACGCTTTTTATTTAATTCATGATCTTTTAATATTTAACAAAGCATAATAACCAATATATTGATTGGGGTTTTCGTTTCACAGCAATTATATAAAAAGTCAAAATTTATATTTGCCTAATTATTTTACTCCAAAGCTCCAGATGCGTTCACAGCATTCGCTGCCTCATTTTGAGAAACTTCTTAAATGGAAGTAAATGTCAAGTATTAAAAATGAAGCAAATGAAGTTTTCTTTATCAATGAAGTCTGTAGTCTTCTTTATCTTTTTTGTTTTCTCTGTATATCAAATGCGCAGAAAAGGGCACGATTTGTTGATCGTCATACAGTACACCATTCTATCTTTTTATTTATTTAAAGAAAGGGGAAATCCGGCATTTTTAAGTTTTCAGTGCACAGAAGTTCATTTTGAAGGCACTTTTTTAAAAAATTCTGATAGCTTAGAGGTTAGAAACGGTTCTCCGTCAAGTTAAATAAAAAAGACTTTAATGTAGCGCTTTTTTGCGTTTTCTTTAACCCTTTTTATTTTACATTTCGTGCCCAGTACAATTCTGAAACTATCTATTTAGCTTCAAATTTTGAATTTTGAGATAGCTTTGCACGAAGTAGCACACAATTGAAAGAGCTAAAAATAAAATTTCAGAGAATTGAAAATTATTTCAATTTTTCTAAATAGTATTATTATTATTATTATTATTATTATTATTATTATTATTATTATTATTATTATTGGTAGGAAAAAATCATGTTTTGACTTTTAAATGCGCTTAAACCCCCTAGCTTTCTTTAATGAATTTTTAGCTGCTTCAAAATTATTTATTCTGATTCAGAGTGGAGCGACAGTTTTTCATTTCTGTCACTTTGCTGTTTATTGGAAATAGCTAATGATCAAGGCTGTGTCAAAAGTATAGAGTGTATTCTGTCCATGTTTTGCTTAAAAATTCCCCTGAAGGGTTAAGAGTTTTATTTATAAACTAACTTTGGAAGTGAAAAGAGAGAGAGAGAAATATTTAACTATTTTATTAGTTCTTTATATTGTAGAGTCATTAGGATTTTTTGAAGCAGGACGCCCGTAAAATGTTTACCATGACCTCGCCGGGACTCGAACCCTGCACCTCTTGAATACATGTCGAGATGATTCCAATTACACCACGAAAGCATGCGGAAAGGATTAAGAAAATGCCTTCTAATATTGTGTACCTCATCCAGTGAGTACTTAATGTTGTAGTTAATGTCAAGACTTGTAATCGAAGAGAACTTAATATAACATTCAAAGTGAGGTCATGATATTTCAAAGCAGAAAAGCATTTTATTGGCCGAGTAATTATACTTCTTTGAACAATTTTATTTACCGTTAAAAAACTGAGTTGTTATTAACGAAGTTGATATTGAGTTTCCTTGACTTCGTCGAACTATTGAATTCTTATAAGTTTTTTTAAAGTTAACTAAGAGATACGTGCCTTGTTGGAAATGTCTCTTTGTAAAGAACTTTTTAAGGGGATTGCTTTCATATTTACCTCACACTTGGACCCGCCAGACTTAAAAACCCGCCCCCTTCCTGACCCTCCCAAAAACGCTGCTGAATGAAATAGGAAAATTTACAATTTCATGACTTTCATGACAGTACTTGTCACTGAGTTGCAAATTATGTCTGTGTTTGGCAGTACTGGCCAATGTGAGTTGTCATTTTAATGATATAAATCGGATCAAAAAGTGGTCTCGTTTGACAAGCTAAGAGAGAAACGAATATCCGATATACAACATGAAACGTAGACCCTGACATTATTTACTGAATAAAAATGAAAGCGTGCGAGTTTTGTTACTAATTTAATTCTTGTTTCATTTAGTTTTTTGTTTAATAGGTCAGGAGTTTTGAGGTCTTGAAGAACAAGTTGTGATATCGTTCATATTATCTATAACTTAAATCTAAAACTGAATCATAACATAAGCCAGAAAATTAGTTATTGAAATGTGATTAGTACTATCTCCACGATTTTCTTTAACAACCGGGTGCGTTCTGATCCTTTCATTCAACATACACCGAGTGTGCCTTTATAAATATAACTATGTAAATTACATTTTTAATGATCTAGATTCATTGACATTCTAGATTTCCACGATTATTTAGTGGAAGTGCGAGTTGCACTTAGAACGAATAAAAGTAAACTATTGAAGGGTAACCTTTACTCGTGAATGTTGCAGTTGAATGTCATGTTTTACAAAATAATCAAAATATTATTATTTAAATGCTTTCAAATATTTACACTGAGCGAATCTTAAGTACTTCATAATTTTATAAATTTGAATTTAGGTCTGATAAATGAATTGAAATGAAAAAAAACCACTGATGTCTTCTAAAAATAGATAGGTTGAATTTGAGGAACATTTAAAATTAATCGATTAAGATTTTGTCGGAGACATTGTGTAATTATGAAGCTGTGAGCTATTTTCGCTTGAATATTATAAATCAATTAAGCTTAAGTGATCTCAGAAATATCCGTGGGTTATTTTCTTGATCCTGAGTTAATTACAATAGGATTAAATGAGCTAAGCGATGAAAGATTTCCTAGAAGCTTTTCTAAAACGAACGGACGGCTGCTTATATTTGCATTGAATATAAAGAAGTCTAAAGCAACTAAAGTTAGCTCTAAATTTATATCATGAAAAGACATCAGTACGCCATTTATTCGCTTGGCCAGTGGTGGGTTTGACGCCTTGAATCAATCTATCTTCACTCTTTTATAAGAATCTTGCAAACACGTGTTTGCATCATGTATGTGATGAAAGGAGTTTTCGTGCAATTTAAAAATAAAGAAACGCATTTTTAAAGCTGTAACTTGTAGCAAGATTTATCTAATGTAGTGGTTCATTTAGTAATTTAAATGTAACAGATTGGTTGGAATGTTATTGAGAAACAAATAATTATAATAAATTGTGTGAGTTTGTGAGTTCGTATTCGGCTGTCGTTTTTCACATCTCTCCTTCATTATTATTATGAATAGTTTTCTTTATCCTCTTTAATTTTTTCTTTCGAAAGCAAGATTAGTTAAATTGCTTAAACTTACGAATGTTAAAATTATATTTAGTCGTTAGTATGCACGGTCTCTGTCTTCTTCGTCTGCTGCTACTAAAACCGAAGACCGAAACATCTAGAGCGCATTACATGCCTATGAATAAGTATTGGTTTCTTATAACTTCAATTTTGCATTTTGCACATAAAAGATGACATTACTCACGTGCATTGCTTTGTGCGTTTCTAAACTCATTTTACAGTTATTCTCTCTGTGTTTTACAAATAAATTTTCGGATGGTTTCAATATACTTTTAATGAGAACTGCATTTTTTTCAGCGAACCTGAGATCTATGAATACAGTATTATTTAAGATTTAAAAATTTATTTTTACTTTATGGATATTAATATCCATTTATCGGGGATTTATATATATATGTTCCGATTAGACTAGAAGTTATCTTGATTTGAGTGAAAAAGCTGAGAAAGCTTTCTATGGATAAGCATGTGGTGGTGGAATAAACATGTTTTGGATTTGATAGCAAATTTCTCATGTTATGACTAGAATGGGATCACATATTATCAATCCAATACTTTATGAACTTTTAATTTTAGCTTGGACGTAATTAGGTTGCAGGGATTAAATTTGCTTGTAATAATGCATGTGACTCAATAGAGGTTTTAAAGGCAAACAATCAGTATTAGACTCATCAAGAAAATAAAACCTTAATCTGATCCAGAGTATCTTGCAAATTTGTTCATAGCAATAATCAACCATATGCAGAGGGATCACATGCAGTTATTTTTCATTTCTGAAATAAAATCGTAAAATGGATATTAAATACATTCAAAAATTACTTAACGATATACCAAAAATGTATTTATTTATTAAATCAGTGAAGCATGGACGAATAAGCTAAATGAAATTATTTAAATAGTCAAATGAATTTGCAGTTAACTGGTAAATTTAAACAGACAAATGTGTATGTATGAAAAATGCGCGAATATGCTTGTCATTTCATTACAGACTACTGTGCTGAAATTATACTTATTATTTTGCATAATAATAGCATAATAACATGTAATTAAGATAAAATAACACGATTAACATGAATTAGCGCTTTGGCAGCTAAAGGTAATGGTTCGGTAAAACCATCGAAACTAGTCCTGTGAAAATTTGCAAATATAACGCTGATTTTTGTTGTTTGACTTCTAAATTAATAACAACATGTATTTAAAATCGAATAAAACTGCATAATTTATGGACATTTTATCTTCCAATGATTATTTTTAAGTTTTATGTTGTGATGTTGATTGCATGCATAGTTTTTAACGGATTATACAGTACGTGTTCGTTCGTGCGGGTGGGACAAATATTCGATTGGGATGAGACGAGAAAAATGTGCAGTGTCCTCGCCGAGATTCGAACTCCGGACGTCCCGAATACGCGTCGAATGTGCTTCCAGTTACACCGCAAAGGCATGCGGAAAGGGGGGTGAGAAAATACCTTATATGCAATATAAAAAATGCTAGTTTGCGCTTATTTTAAGTTGACAGAATGCATATTTTAGTGATTCGTTCTGCTTTTATTTTGTTAACGTTATAAGTATAAAATAGTTTAATTGTTCCTCTTGACACGTTTTCTTTCTTTATTTTATAATAATTTATTATACGAGATCGTTGAATGTAAGTGAGCTGATGTATAATGCGAATTTTTCTTTTGCTATATTTGTAGCTTTAAAACATTTTAATATCCCTGTTGTTGTATTTCTTATGTTTTTATGTTGTTTAATGTGACGTTATTCAGAGAAATTTTAATTTTGAATTATTATTTTTTTCATTTCAGAAAAACTTTCAGTTTCAAAAAGATGAATACATTTGGGACATTAAACAGCATATAATTGATTCTTTACCCAAGGTATATCGTGTGTGCATAATATGCATATTTATTTATTTATTTAAGTTGTTTTTCAGAAAAGACATTTATTTAACTCTAACAGCAGTATGTTATTCACACTTCTTACTTTAGATTCATTGTTAAAAATAGTTGTTTTCTGGAAAATGAATAATGTTTTTATATGTATTTCTTTCAGGAGTTAAAAGAAAGCTTTAATTACGGAATTTTTTGCCCGCCAATCAATGGCAAGGCTGGAAAATTTCTTGATGAACAAAGGCCTTTAGCCGATTATCCATTTCATTCTTCTGTAGGTTATGTAGAAGTATGTATATAACATATATATATTATATAAAACTTCATATATGTATATATGATGTTTTATTTACTTTCTCTAAAGTGCAATTTTGATAGAACTTAAACTCTGCCTTTTCCTGTAAACCTTTAGGAGGGAAATGAACCCATCCAAGAGTTAGTTTATTTTACCAGAATTAATTAAAGAAGAAAGTAATCCTTGAAAGTATAATAAGATAAATTTAAGAGCTATCCGGGAAGAATTCAAGTCGAATTGGAGAAAAAAATTTCCTCTTTATTGGACAGTTTAGAACTTGGGCGAAGCCCATCTGGCGTGGTGAACATAAATTCTAAAGCCATCTTTATTTGGACAATATGCAGAAATGGTAAAATGTCTGAACTTTAAATGAAAAAGTTCAGTTTAGAAAAATAAAATTGTCTTTGAATATGGGTAATGATAAGTGGGTGTTGGCAAATCAGTATTTGACGACTTTCACTCCGAAATTGCTATATCGAGACGGTCACTGGAGTCTTTCTTATTATTTTTCAGAAAGTTAATGAGTGGAAAATGTTTTAGAGACTGATGTAGTTGGTTAGTACCACGAAAGTATGCACTTTTTTAATTTTAAAAATAACGGAAATTGGGAATATGACTCATTTTTAAGCAATCTTATGTATCAGATGTAACATTCGAAATTATACTCTTTAGTCTCAAAGATTTTCTTGATAAGTAATAATCTTAACAACTGTTAAATTTGATCAAATGAAAGAAATGCTAAGTTATAAGTTTTTAAAGGTAGACTTTCATGGTGTTATTTTGTATGATTTTTAAGTGAGACCAGTATCCCTTGCCTAGCACATTTCCGCAGTACAAACTAACGAGTCTAACTGCTATTGTGTCATCTTTTAATTATTATATATTTAAAAACGAGTACCTAAGCAAAGGTATATTCCACGATTTGATAAGGTACCTTCTTTTCTACCTTTTTTAATACTAATGGAATGAATAGCAAACTGAAAGCAAAGAGATATTTCTGTTTTTGTGAAGACATATATAAGTTTTTTTTTAATCATGGATACTTCTGCTAAACATATAACGCTTTGCGTCTAAGTTTATGAGGCATACATATTTAACGCAAGATACCTCATGAAATGAAAGCACTCTAATTACTCATTTTCGATGGGGGATACATTGTATCTTGCTATTGTCGGACCAAGAAATAGAATTACCTGTGATGTAAATTTTGGGAGGTTAAGATGTTTGTGGTTTATGCTTTCATATCTGCATGTAGTAAACTGTTTACTTTGTGGTCCTTTTATCTTTTCGTTTGTTTAATAGGTTTTTATGAGATAGTTATGAGAGGCCACTTAGATAAAAATTGACCACGGTACTTATAATCATTGAAATTGGGCATGATTTTCATATCTCCCAGATTGGATTCTTACGATAATGTAGTTCAGCTTCCAAGCCATTAAAAATAATATCTATTCGCTGCAATTAGTTAGCCATTTGGAAGGTAAAACGAATAACTATAAACGGTTACTAATTCAGAAGTCAAACAACAAAAATCAGCGTTTTGCGGTTTGCGGTTTTGCAGCTGAAGATGGTGGTTCGGTAAAACCATCGAAACTAGTCCTGTGAAAATTTTGTAAATATAACGCTGATTTTTGTTGTTTGACTTCTGAATTAGTATTTATTCGGCGTGTTATTGTGTCTTAATTATAAACGGTTAGTTAATAAACTTTAAACGAACTAGCAGCAGTAACTTATAAATGACAATAATCTTTTGCACTCGTTTCTAGTTAATGACTGATATTCATGATAAATAAAGAATTCTAAATTTAAACACTCAAAATTTCAGTAAATATACTTGAAAGAGATTAGATATACATCCGGAAATAATCTTGATTTTCATTGTATTCTCTTCCGAACTAAACTACAAATCAGTTTTGAAACTGTAATGCTTCTTTAAATATGTTGCTTCAAACTGCTACACTTTGTAAAATTAAATTGCTACATTTCTTAAAAGTAATTGTTGAGTCCACTTATATGTGAATTTACGCACCACAGCATTGTTGATTCTATTGATAAATATTACTTTTCGCTATAATGTTAATTTCGGGGATTTGCATTTCCTTGAAGTAAAATCATACTGTAAAATAACGGCTGTTTCACTATTATACGTTTGTAAAACATGTATACGTTAAAACCCTGAATTTCTATATCAGTATCTATTTTTCTACATTTACACAGTAAAACTGGTCAAAAATCGGCTTTAGATTGAGGTTGGCGTGCTTCCGTTTCATGAGTAGTTATTGATAAATCCTTCGACATGTTTTAACAATCACAAAATGAAATCTCTGCATTGATCAGAAAAGTAAGAAAAATTTCGTATACTTGTTAGTTTATGGAAACTATAATTCTGTTCATCATAATATATATATCAGGGCTGTCCAAATTTTATGTCAGTAATAGCCGCGTGTTGAAATTCAGGAACGTTCGAGAGTAACAACTAAATTTTCCAAAATCCTTAAGTTTATGTTTACACTATTTTAAAAGTAGTGAAATAGGTTTCAGATCGAAAAATACGTCTGAAAAACTTTTTAAAAAGAAATTAAATAAATTAATTTGTTTTTTTGAACACTGGGTAGTTTTGGTTTACTAAATTTCATACATATATTTTATTTGCATAAGAGCCGCTCCTCTCCTCAGCGAATGCCGCATGTGGCTCTCGAACCGCGCTATGGCTACCCCTAATATACACTCTATAAAAAAAAAATAAAAAAATCGACTCACCAAGAAGGGATCATCCGATTGCTTTGAAATCGTATGCATAAGTGTTTTGACCAAATATGCAAATGATTAAAATTTGGTATCCAATGAATGAATAGTGCGATCTCCAGCGCATCGGAAGTACGCATCCAGCAGATGTATATAAGGAGCTGTTCTTGAACTGTTGTTAAAACTTTTTGTTGCATTGCGGTTTAGGATACCTTTCAACGACTGAAAAAATGCCTCGCCACAGGATTCGAGCTGATTTGCTAGCGTTCCTTTTGCAGTACCCTGGCCTTATTTTTCAGCAAGATAATGCCAGACCACATACGGCACGTGTTGCTATGAACTGTTTTACAGCTTGTCAAACACTTCCTTGGCCAGCCAGGTTGCCAGATCTCTCTTCCACCGAGCATGTCTGGGATATGATGGGAAAGCGACTGCATCTACCAGGAAATGTTGGTGACCTGCCCCGACAACTGGTGCAAATTTGGCAAGAAATACCGCAGGAGACCATTCGGGAGCTTTATCATTCTATGCCACGCCATGTGGCAGCTTGCATCCAGGCTAGAGATGGGTCAACACCTTATTGAGCTCGTTAATTTGTAACTATGTAACTCTGAAATAAATAATTAAATTGCTCTGAAATTTTAATTTTTCTATTCTGTATATAATCTTCTTATCCACCAATTTTTGTCTCCATCGGACAACTCCTTCTTGGTGCATCGATTTTTTTTTGTTATAGAGTGTATGTATTATAATATATGTAACATATTTACTCGCATATGTTTCCCCCTAGCTTTTTAGCATAAAGTTCTGAATTTGTTTTAAATACTCGTGTAATTTTACTCTTCCTAATGGCTTTCAGAAAGCGAGCTTCCTAAATTTTAAACTGGATTCGCCCGCATAATTTCGTCTTACTAATTGATTTACTCATGGATTATGGATGTATGGGCAATTTATAAAGCAATTATAGTGAAAAGTTTCAAGAAAATAAGGATATCTTATGCTCTGAAATTTTATATAATTTTTCTGAAAATCACTGTAAGAGGGTAGAGAGGCTAAACAATGACGAAGAGGACAACGTTGACGATGTCAAAGACCTAAACGCTGTACAGACAGCAGAGCCAGCAGCCGCACTGAATAATTTGAGGTTCGGGGAGTAGTAGAGAGTAACAATAAGAGCGTGCGTGCGAGATTGAAATACAATGAAGTTTTCTTATTAGATATTGTAATGTTGTTATTACTGCCTATACATTCTTATTGGAATGTAGGTTTCTTGTAAATAAATAATGCTGTGATAGTTGCTGGTAGTTCATCCATTGATATATTTCACTTGTTATGTTTTTACCGTAGCACTATCTATAATATTTTATATTTTGGGTTCCTAACGGTCCAGGGTTCAAGCCCCACGTTTGGCGCCAAAAATATAAAATATTATTTATACACTGGGACCGGCTGAACTGTAGTTCAGAACAATCAAGATTATCAATAATACATGAACATTTTCAAGAATAATTTTGTAGAATCATTATACATTTCAATACAAATTCAAGTTTTTGTAATCAAGAAATGTCACATAAACATCAGAAACATGTAACTTACCATATGTTTCAAGAATATCAAGTAAAGTTTCATTCATCAAGCATTATTGTTGTAACATTCCTGTTCAAGCATCAGGAATTTAAATCAAGAATTTGTGTAACTCAAGATAATATTAAACAAATAACATTTCGAAATCACGATTATCATAATTCAAGTAAAATACTAAAAATATTACAAAAAACATGTCTTCTTTTTTTTTTTTTTCCTTCAGAATTAAATTAAAATTTTAAATACACTTATACATTTCTACAACCTTAAAATTTTCTAATATATACATTTCTTTAAATATTAAATATACAATACTTTGAATAACATTAAGATTACATTTTCAGTAAGAAATATACTATCATACAATATTAATACTCTTAGCACTCTAACTCTAGACGGAGATAATGGTGCTATGACTTGTTGCGTCGGTCGGGAGTTATAACGCTGACACAGTACACAGTTTCTTATTACACGTTTCACATTTTGTCTGGATCTAATTATCCAGTATTTTTCACGGAGGAACATGAGAGTACTAGCTACATCTGTATGAAGAACTCGTTCATCTGCATCACGTACCAGAAGATCTGTAAAATGAGTTTTTGAAGGAATAATTATAGGATGCTGTTTATGAAAACTTAAAGTTGATTTTTGTAGTCTTCCTCCTA